ATTTCATGTTCTGTCACACAAACATCCTTTCTTCCCTTGTTTTAATTTTTGAAGGACCAGAGAGTTGCTTATATTTTATTAATGGAAACCCTGGTCTTCATGCCCATATATTTCTTTCTGAATAAGTCTTTTCCTAAAAATAACTTTGTATTTTGGAATAGTTTAATTTATCTGCTGCCTGTGGACCCAAACACTGATTAAATATGGCTACCTAGTCTCATCAAAATTCTCCAGAGAATATTAATAAGAAGATACTATAGTGAAAACCATGCTAATATAGAGTTATGATATGAAAATTAAAAATCTTAAGAAGAAGCAATGAATGATAGACAAAATTGCGAACATACAAGAACAGAAGATAACTATTTCAGCATATTTTTAACAATCATATTTGTCAAAATTTTAAGTGCTGCTATGAACCAGATCCTCAGAAAGTCCTATAGATTTAACTCAATAATTACCCACTGGGTTAGTCCACGTTGACTAGAGAAACAAATTCATAGACACTCATATGTGTGTAATACAGAACTTTATATCAAAGAGTAAGTGTATATTAAGAAAATAGCCAAGCCCTGTCCAAATCAAGTCCATAAGTCTGATATTAGCCCATATGTCCAATACCAGTCTATTTTTTTTTTTCAGAATCATGAGATCACAGGCCAGTGGGTGGAGAGTCTTGTGGATCCAGTGGCAGTGGAAGCATCTCAGCGCTAGCGTGGGTCTTGACGTGGCTCCTCCAGCTCCATAAGTCTAGTGTAGCTCCATGTGTCTTGTCAGCAGGAAGACAAAGCAGAGAGTTTAACCCACCTCCAGGGAGGAATACAGGAATGCCTCACACTCACTGAGTTAGATGTCAGTTTACAATGCCTTAATGACCAGAAATCCAACAAAAAAATGACAGTTATTAGGGTATAGAGTAATACTATTTTATTAACTCAGCCATTAATATGGAACTTCATCCTTTACAATTCAAAGTTTAGTAGAGAAGACAACTTATAATTGCTAGGACAGCATATCATAATTCAAAGTCTACTAAAAATTCTTGGATATTTTGATGGGTTCAGTTGGCAAATATTCATATTGATCATGCTATTTTAAATCAAAGAACAGTCAGTAGGTTGTGTGTGTGTGTTTCACAGAGAGAAGAGAAAGAATAGAGGAAAAACTGGTAAATCCTAGGAAATCTGGTCAGTCTATCTAACCTATTCTTGGCCAAATTCTCGGGAAGCAACTAACAGAGTGCTTATTAATATCTAAGTTGAGTGGGGGGTCCAGCAAGAAAGCAAAACATGTCTTAAAACTTACGTACTTGGGGGATTCATGTTTGTTTCTAATAATCCCACCCACTGCCGTTGGCTTGCTTTCCTTTCATTGTGACCCTGTGCGGGGGTTTTGAGTCTCAGTAAAGCTTCATGGGAGCAGACCGCTTCAGTCATTCTCCCAATGAGCAACCGGTGGGTTTGATCTACTGACATTGCTGTTGTAGCCATTGAAGACTCCAAGGGAATCCTATATTGTTCATAATAATATAAATATGTTTCCCAAATGAAACACTTCTCTATGTACTAAAGTCGTTAAACATAATATTTTCAATAAAATGTACTGCTGGATATTAATTTATTAGACACTAATTTCCAAAATGTACCTTGTTTGTAGTTTCAAAGCTCTTTAAATAACCTCTAATTTATTTTGAAATTTTCCAATCAAAAGCAACTCAATTTCATCACACATACTTTTATAAAAAAGTATTTTGCCCATATGCCTTGAGCATTAAATATTTATGGTGAGCCTTATTTAAGCCGGGTAAATTTTTTCAGTCAGCGTCATGTGTAAGCACTTATTCTGATCCAAGTCATACATTATTTTCCCAAAGAAATAAACATGTACTTTACATATTAAATGCCCTACTGTGATGATGGAAAGAATGCAAGTTATTATGAGAGTCAGTTAACCCAGATTCATACCCATTCAAATCATATGTTTGTTCAGGATACTTTTGCTCATTAAGGTAAGCAAAATTAATTTATTGTCAAAATTTGTTATATTGCTCATATAATTTATTGTCAAAGTCATGACAGTTTTAAGAGTGAAAGAGGGCTCTATATTTATAATTATTCTAGAGTCTAGACAGTGAAGTAAGTTGACAAAGTAGGAGCTCTGATCATTCTATTTCATCCCCAGCAGACAAAGTATGGTGGTGTTGTGTATGTCAAGCATGCATAACTCCCACCTTCACCATGGCTGACATAAGTGCACAAATCCGGCAAATAATTGTTTTGTACAAGCACCATTTTACCCCTACAAAGTTGTGATAACAAAAGATGCTAAGCATTTTCACATGATATATTTACTTTTTTAATTTATATATTTGTTGAGAATGTACACAATCCAATATACAACCAATTCAACCGTTTCCACAAGTCCCATTCACTAACATTGATTATATTCTTTGAGTTGTGCCACTAGTTTTGTCCCCCTTTTCTGAGTGGTTTGTTTCCATTAACAAATTCACATCCCACTAAGATTCCTGTCTAATCTTTCAAGTGACTGGTCAGTCAGATCCTAAAGAGATAGATCTTAAAAGAGCATAAGGCTCAAGACCAAACCCAAACCAAACTCAACAGCCATCCAGTCCCTTCTAGCTCCCACTGACCCTACAGGACCTGATTGACTTGCCCCTGTGCGCTTCCCAGACTGCAGCTCTTTATAGCAGTAGCTTCATCTTTCTCCTGCTGAGAAGTGTGGTGGTTTAAAACTGCTGACCTTGAAGTTAATAGCCCAATGTGTAAACACCAGGACTCAAGACAGTCTTTGTTCCTTTTTACTAGCTTCATTTACTAAACTATTATTTGGTTGTAAGAAGACTAAAGGGGACATATTTTGTTTAAGATTTTAAAATTATCTCAGATCAATAGTTTCAGGGGTTTATCTAACCATCCTGCCTATAAGGAGTCTGGAATCTGGAGGGATCTGAAATTCTGTTTTCAATCTTTCTCCTTTTAATCAGAATTCATCTATTTAATCTATGTTCAAAATGTACCGTCATGGAAGAATGGCACTCTACACCTCTGTTATTCTCCTAGCAATGGAAGCCATTGTTGATGGAGGTTAGCCTCCTATTCCTGATTCCCCTTCTCTCTGTTGCTACAGGAAAAATCAGACAAACTGTGCCCTGGATGCCTATTATTAAACTTTTAAGACCAAAAGTACTATGCAATTAACAAAGAGGTAGACTAGAATCACCAAATATATTATTACACAAATTAACTGGCATGTTGAATGAATCTAAACCTGCAAACCATGGAACCAAATTTGAGGATGTTCTGGGGTGTGTATAAGTAAACTCAGCAGCTACTCTTTTTATTTTTCTCATAGTTGTATGTATATATGAGGGGTACCCCCAAAATGGATGTTATATGAGGGAATTATTTCATTTGGAGTTCATTCCACCAGGTCAGACTGTTAATCAAGCTTTCTATTTAGAAGTTCTGAGAAGATTGCATAACGGTGCGACCCAAAAAAAAGGCTTGATTTGTAGCAGGGGACTGTTTTTGCCACCACAACAATGCACCTGTTCACACAGCCATTCAGTGCACCAGTTTTGGGCCCCAAACAGCATGCCTCTCTTGCCCCATGCACCTGACTCACCTGACCTCACTCTGTTGGGCTTCTTTTTGTTTCTGTGAATGAAGAGGGACATGATAGGGCAGCAATCTGAAGATATAGAAGAGATGCAGAACAAAACGAGGGAGGCACTGTCAGCCCTCCAAACAGATGAGTTTGAAAAATGTTTCCAAGAACAGAATCACAGATTTGACAAATGTATTAAGTGTTAACAGAGAGTACTTTGAAGGTGATAAAGTTGTTTTATTTAAATTAAATACGTAGATTTTTTTTTAAATTCCAGGTTTTGGGGGGTATGCTCTCGTGTAAGAGTAAGTGAAAAATATTCCTACTGGTATTTTCATTCACGCATATACACAGAGGTTTATGCCCAACAAAACATATGTGAACATGTCTCTGTGATCACTGGATGGCTGCAGACAAGTTGTCTCCATAGTGAACTTTAGTCTCATTCGCATGTCTTCAACAACCAAAAGGATCCGATCCAAACAGTGGGGCCAGTGGCACCCTCGGGGTCAGTTAAATTCCAGACAGACAGCTCAACTCAGAAGGTTATAAAGCAACTATTTCTGGTGATTCCAATGGGGTTATCCAGAGAATGATCACCAAGGCTTATTTTGAAGAAATTTTAAGGAAATTGAAAACTGAATTAGTGAGAAACTAGCCAGGAAAGTTAGACTATGAAATATTTTTTCATCACAGCAGTACACATACCCTTTCTTCTAGGGTAATAAATATTTCCCTATGAGAATTTCATTAGGGCACTTTACTACACCCACCCTACAACCCCGATCTTGTCATTTCAGACTCCTTTTTACTTGTCAAACTCAAAGAACACCAAAAATTAACACAAAATATGTTCCTTGAGCATGCCAAAGCGACGTTTTGACATGATGTAACTCAGAGGCCTCAGCTAGCTTTGGGTTGGGGTTAGAGATGATAACACAGCCCAAAGACGAGTATAGATCGAGACGGAGGGTTGGTCCAGAAGCAATAATTTCGCGTTTTGGTTTTTTAGCTTAATAAAGATTTCTATGATTTCATCACAATATTTTTCAATTTACCCGTGTCTATCTATCACGCATTTTTTGCAAAATCCACTTTTTACAGGTATAAAATTTATTTACAACAGTTTCTCATTCAGCTGTGGAACCTTAATCAATGTAATATTGCCATCACTATTAACATCCTTATTGGGGAGTGTCCATTAAAAGTACTGTGATCTCTGTAGTGAAGTGTTTAGTTGGTTGTTTGGCTGTTTTAATGTAAATAAATCACATCGCCCTAAGCTCAGCTTTAAGGGGGCTGTGCCATTGCCCATGAGCTAGCACCGAGAACTCCATGTTTGCTGAGAGATGCTTTTGCTTGGTTTCCAGGACCAGTGGTTTTGGCGAGTGAGAAACAACAGGGTGATGGATGGATACCCCATGCAAATAACTTATTTCTGGAGAGGGCTGCCTCCTAGTATTGATGCAGTGTATGAAAACAGTGATGGGAATTTTGTTTTCTTTAAAGGTAAGAATGTTTCTTGTGTCTTGCTCTGTTGTATTGTGGTGAAGCCCTTGTAAGACCTATAGAAGTGAAACATTAAAACCTAATGAGTTGGTAGGTAGTTTGTGCATTTTTATAACATAGCCATACTCGTTGATTAAAAATATAATGAAATGAAATGAAAGATAATTTTCAATTTTCTAGATTCACTTTTCATATGCAAGACTTTTTAAAGATAGTATTAAAAGGCATTCTGTTTCATTTCTTATTTATATATTGTCTCTTAAATGTATTTGATTTGATTTAATCAGAGTCTGTTTATTAAGTTCCAGAAAAGTAAGCTTTTACTGGAAGAGGTCAAAGACAATTTAGAACTAGAAAATGCCTTATAAATATGAGTTATCGTGACATTTATTAAACTTGTAATTTTTCTGTGACATATTTAAACTGCAGAAGGTCTACAGGTCTCATATTCAAAAGAGAGATTACCTGGTAGATGAAATTTAGTCAAGTACTTGACACTTTTCCTCAACATTTGTTAGTATTAAAAGCATTAAACTTAAACCCATGGTGTAAATGATGAGTATAAAGGAAAGTGATTGATTGTGGTGGAGGCTTTACCTAATTGAGAGAACATATTTAACTGAAAGGTGAGGAAAAATAAAGTGCAGAAAAATATACCAGGTAGTATTATTCAAGAGCCTAGGAGACTAAATAGACTGAGGAAAGAAAAGGGTTTTCTTAGAAAAGAAGGCAGCCTTCTGAGAACTGGTAGAAATGAGAGGCGCAGTGAAAGCCGTGAGCTCTGGAAAGACTTGCAGCGCTCTAATTTGAGGCCTCGCCTACCTTTCCTTAGCGGTTAGCTTACCTGTCCCAGGTAGTCTGGCACTGGAACTGTCACGAGTTGGACTGCGATCCGAACGGTCTGCAGTTCAAAACCACCAGCCGATTAAAGACAGGGGTTTACCATCTCGGAAACGCACAGCGGCCGTGCTGCAGGGTCACTCCGATTCGGCATCGATGGCATGGCAGCGAGTTCGGTTTCGCGGGTTTTCTTTACAGACTGGACTTTACGATGAGAGGCAGTTATAGCACGTCAGGTAAAAGAATTTAGACGTTCCGTAGTTAAATCGCCAATACTAGCTGTATGAACGGGGCAATTTACTTAAGGTTTGCCTCAATTTGACCACTTAGAAAGGGGATTAGTATCAGTCCCCATTTTAAAATTATTTGGTTACTTAAATAATCCATGATATCGGGTTGATTCCAACACGTAGGGACACAGGGCATGTAAACGCTCAGGACTTGCGGTCGCTGCTGCTGCTGGGATCACTGCTAATGTCACTTCCCTCCAGTGGCCTGTTCATGACCGTGTGAGGGAAGTGGACTTGCACAGTGCAGGCTGCTGCGAATCTTTGTGGCATGAATATGTGAGGGGAGGCCCTTCCTGGCACCCTCCTTTGGCACCAGGATCCGCAGAAAGCAAAGCAGGGCGGGCTAAGTTCTGTGTTAGCCGGAGGTTTGAGGGCTACACCCAGGGCTCTGAACTCATCCCAGGAGCAGTCACAAATCAGTGTGCTGGCAGCACTTTCCTGCCTCCGGGCCTTCTCACGTTCATTTCCCGAACCTCTCCCAGTTCCTGAAATGGCTAGTGACCTTCACATCTCTCAGCAGTCAGCATTGGGAAGCGCTTCCTAGACTGCTCTCACCCCCACCCCCCCAGGCCACCCTGTTTAAAGTAGTGCCTCCCAACTTGCGCATAGCATTGTAAAACTTGTGCAATTACCAACAGCGTGAGAATGCAAACCCAGGAAAGATGACTTGTGTTTATATTTTCTTATACACTGTTGAAGCCTCATTTCAATAAAAGCAATAAAGCTGGGACAGCTGACACCAATCTGACTCGATGCGATACTTCTCAGGCTTTTGTGGTGTTGACAGCAGGACTAACTTTGTGTCTTGTCACATATGTATTGGACTTCCAGAATGCTGTGCTGGTTGGTGGTCTCTTTTGATGCATTTTATCAGAAGATGTCTAGAAAGGTCACTCCAACAACCCTGGGATGGAGCTTCCTTTCTCCAATTTACTCTCCACACTACCATCAGAGAATTCTCAAAACCCTACTATGACTGTCCAGCCACACTGTCAGACAAGTCATCCTAAGAAAGCCGGGGCTCAGAGTGGCCTTTCCCCATCAGGGCAAGTAACAACTTCAGAACTCTGCACTTCTGATAAATCCCACCTCCCTCCCCTACCCACCAGATAACAATCGCAATCAGATCTCTCTCTCTGCCTTGACACTGGCTAGGTAAGGCCTGCATCGCCTCAAAAAGTACGTGGTTGCTACGTGCTGTAATGCTGACTCATCGTGACTGAGCAATAGAACAAGCACTGCCCATTCCTACACCACCCATTCCTACACCTATGGCCCATAGTTGTAGCCACTGTGTCAGTCCATCACGTTAGGGGCCTTCCGCTTCTTTACTGCCCTTTCACTTGACCAAGCATGATGTCCTTCTCGAGGGATTGGTTTCTGGAGACAACATGCCAAAAGTATGTAAGATGCATCTCGCCATCCTTGCCTCTCAGGAGCACTCTGGCTGCACTTCCTCCGAGGTTGATTTTTGTTCCTTTAGCAGTCCTTGATACTTTCCAAAAGTATAGGATACTTCAGTTGTCCCTCATCCCAAAACGGCAGATTCTACCCACCAGTCCCCCACCCCATCACAAGTTATCCTCCATAGAACACTTTGTTAGTCTGGGTAGACAAGAGAAACAAATCCATAGAAACACATATGTGTATAAGAAAGAAGTTTATATACAAGAGCATTTGAATACTGAGAAAATATCCAGTCCAGATCAAGTCCATAAGTCCGATATTAGCCCATATGTCTGATACTAATCTACAAAATCCTTTTCAGACTCATGAAACATATGCAATGATGCCGAATGCAGGACTATCACAAGCCAGTGGGTAGAAAGTTTTTGATTCCAGTGGTGTTTTAAGCATCTCACCGCTGGCAGGGATCTCTATGTTGCTTCTCTGGCTCCAGAGGTCTGGTTGCATCAGGATAGGTCCATGTGACTTCTCCAACTCCCAGGGCACGGGGTCTATCAGCATAGTGCCCTATGTCTTGTCAGGAGAGTGCTCCAAGGGAATGAGCAGAGGGAAAGTGTCTCCTACCTCCAAGGAGGCAATTCAGGAATTCCCAGAATTTTTAGGAGAAGGCCATGCCCACCCAGAGGCCTCATTGGCTATATCCTGATTGACAGCCTAGACTCCACCCTTGCACTCTAAATCCTCACATTGACACCAGATGATGTAACTACCACAAACATGAACAAATCTATACTTCCTCCCTAGCTGTCCACACCTCATTCCTGCCTTAACTTTCATCTGACAGACAACATAATTGAATTCTTTGTTATGTGTCGCCTGCCCACTAGAAAATCAGCAATTGTGTTCTTTTCACTCTTTCTTTCTCTACTGTTATTATATGCCCTGAGTTTTAATCCTGTAGTTGTCAAAACAAAAAAATCTAAAATAGATAAAATAATAACGGATTATGTGCCATACAAACACGTGACATGGGTAGTTTGCAAGCTTCTGTCTAAAATAAAAGGAATGCGGGTGGTACAATGGGTTAAGTATTGTTCTACTAACTGCGAGGTTGGCATCCCCACCTATTGTCTACTCTGCAGGAGAAAGAAATGGCAGTCTCCTGCTGTACAGATTTAGAGCTTTGCAAGCCCTAGGAGGCAGTTCTACAGGGTCTCCATCACACGGTTAGCATGGTCAGAATTGACTGAGTGGCAAGGACAATTTGGGTTTGAGGTTGGTCTTAAACAACACTCAGAATATATTGAATAAATGAAAAGTAAATTTCAATCACCATAATAAGTTTTTACAACCCTATCCAAATTGGATAAGTCCCAGCCAGAATGGGCCACTACAATTGATGGTTTTAAATATTCCTGATTAAAAGCTGTCCACAAACTGGGGGTGAAAAACTTAATAAACTAATAAAGAACATCTAGAGAAATTCATTATTTAATAGTGAAAAGCAAATGCTTTGTCCCTATGGAACAACTCAAAGATTTTACTAATGATTCTATCTGGTACAATAAAGTAGGAAGCATCAATAAGACTCATCCAGACTTGTGAGAAGAAATAATACTGTATTTCTGCACAGAGAACACGATTGTTTAGGTGGAAAATAAACTACCATCTACAAAGTTTCTAGAATTTATAGTCAGTTTAACAAGGTCGCAGGCCATAAGATCATATCACAAAGAAAATTTTAATTTTATTTTTACATATTTTCAAGAATTATGAAGAGTATAATATGTTAACCCTTTTTGTAAGTTCATAAGTTAACACAAGTAAAACTCCAATTCGTACTTGGCAACATCTGTAATAATTAACTAAAAATGTTCTTAGCCTAAATCTTAGATATAAAATTCCAAAACTTGTTATAAAACAAAAATGCACATGCAATATATTTATTTCTTGGTTTAGTTTAAAAGAAAAAGAAGAAAATTTTATAAGATGTCAAGATCACAATTCATTAAAAAAAGGAAACCTATTAACTTTAAAAAATTATCCTCAGTGAGTTTTAGTTTTTTTAAATAGAGAAAGAAAATATGTGGACTAGGGAAAAGTTGCAAACAAAACTTTGTTGAAAATTTTATTGAGACTATATAAGGAACTCAGAAAATGCAATATAAGAAAACAATTTTATTTTTAAAATAGCAAAAGGTTTGAACAGAGACTTCACCTAGAAAGATAATATGGATAACAAGTAAGGGCATGAAAAGATACTCATTGTCATTAACCATTATTCAAAAGCACGATACCTATTATAACAGCTAAAATGTAAGGCATTGGCTATATCAAACATTGACAAGATAATGAAGGAACTAGAAACCTTACACACTGCATCAGGTTAACTAGAGAAACAAATCCAGATAGATAGATAGATGAAAGAACTTTATATCAAGAAGGAGTCATGCATTAATAAAA